AGCAGTGAGCTATTATGGCACCACTGCACTCCAGCCTGAGCAACAGAGGAAGACCCTAAATCTCAAAAAAAAAAAAAAAAAAAAAGTAAAGCAGTCCAGATGTTTGATGATTAATGTTAGGAGTCAACTTGAATGGATCGAAGGATGCCTGTGTAGCTGGTAAATAATTGCTTCTGGTTGGCCGGGCGCGGTGGCTCAAGCCTGTAATCCCAGCACTTTCGGAGGTCAAGGGGGGCGTATCACGAGGTCAGGAGATCAAGATCATCCTGGCTAACACGGTGAAAACCGATCTCTACTAAAAATACAAAAAATTAGCCAGGTGTGGTGGCAGGCATCTGTAGTCCCAGCTACTTGGGAGGCTGAGGCAGGAGAATGGCGTGAACCTGGGAGGCGGAGCATGCAGTGAGCCAATATCGTGCCACTGCACTCCAGCCTGGGCGACAGAGCGAGACTCCGTCTAAAAAATAATAATAATAATTGCTTCTGGGTGTGTCTATGAGGGTGTTGCCAAAGGAGATTGACATTTGACTCAGTGGACTAGGAGAGGAAGACCCACCCTCAATATGGGTGGGCACCATCTGATATGCTGTGATCATGGCTAGAACAAAGCAGGCAGAGGAAGGTGGGTTAAACTGGCTTGCTGAGTCTTCTGGTCCTGCTCCCATGCTGCATGCTTCCTCCCATTCCTTCTGCCCTTGGATGTCAGACTCCAGGTTCTTTCGCCTTTGGACCCCCAGACATATACTAGTGGTTTGCCAGGGACTCTTGGGCCTTTAGCCACAGACCAAAGGCTGCACTGTTGGCTTTCCTGCTTTTGATGCTTTTGGCCTCTGATTGAGACCCTAGTGGCTTCTTTCTTCCCCAGCTTGCAGATGGCCTATCATGGGACTTCGCCTTGTGATCATGTGAGCCTATTGTCCCTAATAAACTCCCTTCATATACACAAGTATCCTATACGTTCTGTCCCTCTGGAGAACCCTGAGTAACACAAGATGACATGAGTGTAATCTTGACTCCAAAACCAGATAAGATAAATACAATTATAGATGCATTTCATTTCCAAATGTAGAGGCTAAAATTGTAAATAAAATGTTGGCTAACTGAATCCAAATGGATAAGAAAATAGTGTATCATTATGTTAGTTGCCTAAGGCTGATCTATTAAAGTTCCACAAACTGGGTGGCTTAAAACAATGGAAATTTATTTATCATCTCAGGGTTGCGAAGGTTAGATGTCTGAAATCAAGATGCCAGCACGGCCATGATCCCTCTGAAATCTACTGGGGAGAATCCTTCCTTGCCTCTTCCTAGCTGCTCGTGGTTTACTAGAAATCCTTGGCATTCTTCATTTTGCAGCTGCCACATTTCAATCTCTGACTCCCTTGTTCAATGCTGTTTTTCCCTTGTGAATATCTGTCTTCACATGGTGTTTTCCCCTTCTCATAAGGACACCAGCCACATTGGATTATGGCCCACCCGAATTACCTCATCTTCACTACATCTTCAAAGACTATTTCCAAATAGGGTTACATTCATGGGCACCTAGGTGTAGGCCTTCAACACATCTTTTTGGGGGACACAATTAAAACCATAACAATCGTGATCAAGTAGGGCTTATCTCAGAAATGCAAGGATGGCTCAACATAATAAAATTTATCACCAGGCACAACAGCTCCTGCCTGTAATCCCAAGACTTTGGGAGGCCAAGGCAGGTGGATTGCTTGAGCTCAGAAGTTTGAGATCAGCCTGGGCCACATGGTGAAACACCATCTCTACTAAAAATACAAAAATTGAGCCAGGCGCAGTGGCTCATGCCTATAATCCTAGCACTTTGGGAGGCCAAGGTGGGCGGATCATGAAGTCAGTAGTTCAAGACCAGCCTGATCAACATGGTAAAACCCTGTCTCCACTAAAAATGCAAAAATTAGCCATGTGTGGTGGTGTGCATCTGTAATCTCAGCTACTCAGGAGGCTGAGGCAGGAGAATCACTTGAACCTGGGAGGCGGAGGTTGCAGTGAGTGGAGATTGCACCACTGCACTCCAGCTTGGACGACAGAGTGAGACTCTGTCTCCAAACAAACAAACAAAAAAATACAAAACTTAGCTGGGTATGGTGATGTGTGCCTGTGGTCCCAAGTCTTAGCTACTCAGGAGGCCAAGGTGGGAGAATCGGTCGAACCCAGGAGGCAGAGGTAGCAGTGAGCTGAGATTGTATCACTGCACTCCAGCCAGGTGACAGAGCAAGACTCTATCTAAAAAAAAAAAACAAAATCTATCATTGTAATTCACCACCCTCATAGAGGTATATCATATGGCATAGCTAAAAGAGGTATACCATATGACAATCACAATTCATGCAAAGACAGCATTTGATATCATTCAATCGAGAACATTATCCCACATCGGCAAAATAACAAAGTAGTCCCCCTTCTAGAACTATCTCATGGGGCATTTTCATTCAACGAACACTTACTGAGTGGCTAGCATGTACTAGGCACTGTGATAAATGCTATTGCTATGTGGTACCCTTTAACCTTCATCATAGCCTTATGAATAGGTTCTGTTATGATCCCCATTTTAGAGACGCACACCATAAAGTGTGCTTCTCCACAGGGAGCCACATGGCCCTGAAGCTGGTACCCTCCTTTCTGCAAACAAGAGCCATAGCTCTGCCGTGGGCACAATGAGTGTGCTGATCCATGTTGAAGGCTCCTGGAGGGCAGCGTTCCCTTTCAATGTGCAAAGATACACAGGTCAGCAGAAACCAGGCCTGGAAGTCTGCAAGGAAGAAGACTGACAGGCTTTGGCCATCATCGATGTCCTGTCTCTCATGAGAATTCTCATTCCAGGCAGAACCTCAACTTTCTTATTTAGAGCTCTCATTTCCGCAGCTGGAGGGGGAGCTCTGGTGATGTATTCATCTGACAAAAGACTCAGCCGGAGCCGGAAAAGCTGCCTGAGACCTGGCAAACTGTTGGGGAGAATTGAAACTGGTGACCCCTGGCCGGACACGGTGGCTCATGCCTGTAATCCTGGCACTTTGGGAGGCCGAGGCGGGTACATCACTTGAGGTCAGGAGTTCAAGACCAGCCTGGCCAACATGGTGAAACCCCGTCTCCACTAAAAATGCAAAAATCAGCCGGATGTGGTGGCAGGCGCCTGAAATCTCAGCTACTTGGGAGGCTGAAGTAGGATAATTGCTTGAACCTGGGAGGCAGAGGTTGCAGTGAGCCCAAATCATACCACTGCACTCCAGCATGGGCAACAGAGCCAGACTCTGTCTCAAAAAAAGAAAGAAAGAAAGGAAAGAAAGAAAGAAACTGCTGACCCCAACTGCTCTAGAAGCCAGGAAGCCACCTACACCCTGTAGACGGAAGCCCTATAACCTCTGGGTCGCACTCTTAGAAACATCTATTCCTGCCAGACACGGTGTTTCACACCTGTAATCCCAGCACTTTGGGAGGCTGAGGCCAGAGAATTACTTGAGCCCGGGAGTTCGAGACCAGCCTGGGTAACATGGTGAAACCCTATCTCTACTAAAAATACAAAAATTAGCTGGGTGTGCTGGTGCACACCTGTAGTCCCAGCTACTCGGGAGGCTGAGGCAGGAGAATCGCTTGAACCCCAGAGCGGAGGTTGCAGTGAGCAGAAATCATACCATTGCATTTCAGCCTGGGTGAAAGAACGAGAATCTGTCTCAAAAAAATTAAATAAGTAAAATAAAATAACAACAGTGCAAAGATTTGTCCAGGAACTGTCAGAAACTACCAGGCAAATTATCATTCTTCAAATTTATGTTTCATCAGAAACTGAATTATGGAAACACTAAGTTGGTTGTACACAAACAAAAAAATTCAAAAAAAAAAATTTCAAATGAATACTGTTCGTCTGGTTTGCTAATTGGAAATCAGCCAGTCTCTCTGCCAGGCAGTTATAAACAGACTTTAATCGCCTGGCTGGAAATGAAAGGCCATCCCACTCTCAGTCTGATATTGCTGCTGCTATTAGCTTAGTAACATTAGCAATGTTTAGTCACAGTCACGAAGATTAGCTCCCACTAGCCTGACTTACCTGACAAAAGTAATTCAAACCCCAAAGAAACAGGATGTAATTTATAGGGGGTAAAGGCATAAAATCGGCTGTTTCTTCTTCTTTTTTCTTTTTTTTTTTTTTGAGCAGATCGCTCTGCTCGCCCAGGCTGGAGTGCAGTGGCGGTCTTGCGGATCATCGGCTCACTGGATAGCTCCGCTCAGGTTTCACGCAATTCTCCTGGCCCTCAGCCTCCCCGAGTAGCTTGGGACTACAGGCCCCGGCCACGCTCGGCCCGGCAAGTTTTCTTGTATTTTTTTAGTAAGAGAGCGCGGGTTCTCCTCGTGTTAGAGGCCAGGATGGCTCTCTGATCTCCTGACGCTAGTGACTTCTGCCGTCTTGGCTCACACAGTGCTGGGATTCACAGGCTTGAGCCACA